AAATTAAAGTATAATAATTAATATATCATTATTGATGTATAATTAATATTATATCAAATTATATTATATTATAATTAAGGGATAAGAAATTAAATTATAATAATGAAAATGTAATAATTAAAAATTTTTAACAATCTTTTTACTTATTGTATTTATATTTTATAAAATTAAATGATAATAATTAATGTATAACAAATTAACTTTCATAATTTTTTAATTAATTATAAAGATAAATTAAATTAGGTAGACTTTTAGTTGGTTAAAAATGTAATTATATATATTATTGTAGCATATGTAATTTTAAAAGGATAAATGCTAATTTTGATTCCTCAATTTTAAGATTTTACATAATTTTTGTCCCTTAACTCTTTTTTTCTCATTTTGGTCCCTCAATTATGAGTAATTTTCATTTTTAGGCCTTTTATCGATGTGCTAAAGAAACTTAATTGACAGAAGAACTAAAAATGCACATTATTCATAGTTGAAGGTCCAAAATGAGCAAAAAAAAAGTTGAGGGTTGAAAATTGTGTAAAATCATAAAGTTGATGGATCAAAATTGATATTTATGATTCTAGTGCTTGTTATATAATATTAAGATATTATTGAATTTTTAAGGCACGTACTACTTAATTATGGGAGAAGATCGGAGTTGGATGTATCGTCGTTGAGATGAAATGGGGTATTGGAACAATGAATTTAATGCTGGGGTAGAGATTTTCTTAGATTTTGCATTCTCACAAACGGATTCGATGTTTTGTGCAAAGAATATGATTCGGTGTCCATGTAGTAAGTGTTGGAATAGAGAATGACATCATCGATGCAAAGTGCAATTTCATCTTATTAAGAATGGCTTCATGCATGGGAATTTTATTTGGACAAGACACGGAAAAATTATTCATAGAAAATGACATTGCACCCAAGTGGGTGAATTATCAAGTGCCGTTGCTGCTGCTGCTATGAATAATGTTCCAAGTGTCAATCAACTCGGAGACATCTTCATGATGCCATGGGACCAAATTTTTTTAATAATGAAAATAGTGCCACAGGGGTAGAAGATGCAACACAATTTGATGCTAGTTTTGATGATCCATATGGTATCAGTGCAGAATCGATATTTGAGGAGCCAAGAGGAGATGCAAAAGAGTTCTTTGATCTTTTGCGAGCAACTGATACATCTCTTTTTGAAGGGTGTGATGATGGTGTCACTGTCTTAAAGTGGGTGTGTGAGCTCATGAGTGCAAAAACACTTTTTAACTTGAGTGTTACTAATTGGGACTATGTGCTAAAGCGTAGTCTAATGGCCTTCAAAAACGTTCATAGGGAGAAATTGCCAACAAATTATTATAGTGCCAAGAAGATGTTGAGGCGTCTACGTCTCGAGTATAAAAAGTATGATGTTTGTGTGAACAATTGCATTTTGTATTATGGAGAATATGAAAGTCAGTGTTATTTACAATGCCCGGCATGTGAAGAGCCACGATTTAAGTATCGTGATGTGCATTCTGCTAAGCCTATACCAAGAAAGTCTTTGTGGTATCTTCCAATTATTCCTAGACTTCAGAGATTGTATATGTCTAGGAAAACTGTCGAGCACATGACCTAGCATTTAAATTGTTATAATGAAAATGAGAAAATGTTTCATCCTGCATGTGGAGAGGCATGGAAGCATTTTGATAGCACTCACCCTGAGTTTGCTAGTGAATTGAGGAATGTTAGGTTAGGTCTATGCATTGATGGGTTCACTCCTTTTGGACATTTTACATCTCCATACTCTTGTTGGCCAGTATTTGTGTCAGTTTATAACCTGCCTCCAACAATGTGCATGAAGCAAGAATATGTATTCCTTTCATTGATTATCCAAGGTCCGCAAAGTTCTGGAAAGAATATTGACGTAATGCTTCGACCACTAATCGATGATTTAAAGCAGCTTTAGTATTCTGGAGTCCAAACTTATGATAGCTTTAGGCGTCAATACTTTCTGATGAGGGCTGCACTTATGTGGATCATTAGTGACTTATTTGGGTATGGAATGTTGTCTGGGTGGAGCACATATGATAAATTAGCTTGTCCCTATTGCATGAAAAATTCGAAGGCCTTTTCATTGGAACACAGTTAGAAGACATCATTTTTTAATTGTCACCGATAGTTTTTGCCACCGGATCATCCATTTAGAAGAAACAAGAATGACTCCATAAAGGGTCGTACAGAGAATGGAACAATGCCAGAGAGATTGTTTGGTGGTGAGATGCATAGTCGCATCCATTGGTTGCCTAATGTACTATTTGGTAAGCCACCTCAGAAATAGGAAATCCACGGATTTGGTGAAGTGCACAATTGGGTTAAAAAGAGCATCTTTTGGGAATTACCATATTGGCACACAAACTTGATTCGACACAATTGAGATGTCATGCACTATGAGAAAAACTTTTTTGACAATATCCTTCATACAGTAATGGATGACCCTATGACAAAAGATAACATAAATGCAAGACTTGATCTGGAATTGTATTGTAAAAGGAAAAGTTTGCACATACCAAAAACATGAGTGAATTCGGGTAAAAAGCCAAAAGCCACTTATGTTCTTAGTAGGGATCAAAGAAAATCAATATGTCAATGGTTGAAGGAACTTAAATTCCCTGATGGATTTGCCTCCAATATATCTTGGTTTGTCAATATACAAGAGGCGCGATTATTCGGTATGAAAAGTCACGACTGTCACATTTTCATGTAAAGCCTTATACCAATTGCATTTCATGATTTATTACCAAAACAAGTTTGGGAGGCACTTGTTGAGATTAGTGAGTTCTTTAGGGCCTTGTGTGCTCCGATGATTCAGGTCAATGACATGGCAATATGCCAGGAGAGGATAGTAGAAATCATTCGTAAGCTAGAGTGAATCTTTCCACCTTCATTCTTTAACAATATGGAGCATCTTGCAATCCACCTTCCATACGAGACTCGTGTAGGAGGACCAGTGTAATTTCGATGGATGTATCCATTTGAGAGGTAAATATAATTAATGTATAATATATGAAAATAAATATAACTCCATATATGATATTTTGTTGCATTGAGGTTAGAATACCAATTTGGTACTTCAACTTTCAATTTTATATCAAAGCTACCATTGAACTTAAAAAAGAATTAAAAATGGTCCTTTCAAGGA